CCTCAGCTCTAGGGAAGGACCTTTCTCCCAGCAACCAGGGCTGCGCTCACGCGGATCGCGCCTCCCCTGGCTTCTCAAGGCGGCCGACCGCGTTCCCAGGTTACAGCCAGAGGTCAGGTGTGGGGCTGCGCGCATCGGAAACAGGAAGCAGCATCCCGAGTTTGCAGGGGAAGAAGAGGTAAACAGGGTTAACGGAAAAGCACCATCAACCCCCACTGTAGACAGACACGTGTACACACAGGACCGAAGGAGGAGAAAGTTGTGGAAGAATGCAGAGATGTTCACAGGCAGGGAGAGCCCTTCGGGGGTCAGGGAAGACTTAAAGCCTTCGGAAAGGAAGGGGTGTGCGGGGAGCCAGGCAGGCCCGATTCGCCTGTCCTGGGAAGGCGGCAGAATGCCCCCCGCCACCCTATTTTTCTCTCGGTTGTAAGCAGACAAGCAGATACTTTTTCTTTTCTGAAAGCTCTGATCCCAAAGACAGTCCGAAGCCCAAGCTGTAGAGGTTTCCGCCTGAACACAGTCGGTGCCCATCCGAGCAGCATCCCGGCGCGCTGACACTGCAGGCCCGCTGGCCAGCACCGCGCCTGTGCGCCCAGGGCCCCAGGGAGGAAGCTGTCCACGGGCTCTGGCCTGCAGAGAGCAGGTAGGGCTGCGCTCCTGGCCAGGAGAGGGACGCTCCTGCGGCCCCATCTGCCCCTGGGCGAGGAGGGGAGGTTTCCACGGCGGCCAAGCGGACACGGCAGGCGCCAGGGCTGGAGACGGACGCCTGGGCAGCAGGGAAGGGGGGGCACACAAGGACGCCTCGCGTTCTCCGAGCTTCTCAGGAGTCTGAGCACACTGGGGTGGTCTCCACGATCACCTGACCGAGGGAAACTCCTTCTCTGCTCAGCTGTGGCAAGCGGGGTGGATACTGTGAGGACCAAGGTGGCGACGCAGGGGCTACGGGGTGCCCGATGCTGACCCAACCGGTGCCCAGCCCATGCCCTGAAGACCACATCCACTGGACACCCAAAGTGTCCTGTTCTAGCGTGCACCCCGGGAGCTATCTGAGCTCAAACAGAAGCACACACGGGGCAGAAGGAGGCAGGAGGGAGCATCTTACTGCTTAGGGGTAACATCTGGTATTCAGACACGCTGCCCTTGCTTAGCCCTGCAGCGCACAGTCCTGAGCCTGACTTTGCCTAGTGCCAGGCATGCAGCACGGGCCCTGCGCCATCATCGGGCCCCTCACACACGACACGCTTCACCTAGGAGCCTCCCCCAGCCGGCAGCCCCTACGCAGATGGCAGCTCGGGGTGGGGGTTAGGGTGGGGCTTCGTTACATTCTGCTCACGGAAACCCCTCCGCTGGTCACTCAGGAGAAGCGTCCACCGCCTTCCTGATTTTCATGACTCACCCTGTGCCACCGGAAGGCTCAGTGAGGATGTGGGGACATGACTGACTCCTGCCTTTCTGGACTCTGCCCCCGGGACTCCCTCTCTGCTGGGGAACACGGGCTTCCTCCCCCGACTGTATCATCTGTCTCCTCCAAGGGCTTCTCTCCGTCCTTCATACAGGCGACCTGCAGCCTCTGCACGACGGGGGGACCAGGAAACGGGCCAGAAGCAGCCCCACAGGGCCCCTGCCCGGACCTCCTCATGGCCACAGCCCTCACCAAGGAAGGAAAAAAGCCAGACTCCCAGGACGGACCACGGTCACGTTCTGCTGAACAGTTTTGTCGAAACAGGAAGTCAGCCATTGCAGTCACTCGTCCAGCCTAGCCAGGCTAGTGCTTCGTAGCAAAGGGGGTCTCAGCCCCGCAGAGGGACCGGTGGCCCCACTCTGTGGGTGCCCCCTCGGTCCCACTCTCTCGTGGATGCCCCCCTGGGCCCCACTCTCTCGTGGATGCCCCCTGGGCCCCACTCTGTGGGTGCCCCCTCGGTCCCACTCTCTCGTGGATGCACCCCTGGGCCCCACTCTGTGGGTGACCCCTCGGCCCCACTCTCCCGTGGATGCCCCCCTGGGCCCCACTCTGAGACCAGCGTGGCTTGCACATCCGCCACCCTGAGCTGGACGCTCGTCCAGGGCCGAGAGAAGCCTCTGCCAGGACGTCCCTCCCTGGCCGTCAGTGCCACCTGCCATGCTTCTAGGTGAGTGGACTTCTCTCCAGGGTAGGCAGCTCTGTCCACCGTGACCTCCTGGGGCACCCTCCTTTTGGCCTGCGGTCGCGTCTGTGCACCCCTTCTCACTCAGAGTCCCTCACCCCGCGGGATGGATGGCTGCCGCTGTTCAGTACCAGCCTCCCTGGGGCCGGCTCAGGAGGCCGCAGCAGCGGAGGTGCCGGGGTTCAGTGACTCCTGGCCACTGACACAGTGCAACTTCGACACAGTGCGACATCGGCACAGTGCGACTTCGGCACAGTGCGACTTCGACTTCGGCACAATGTAACGACATAATGTGCTTCCTGTCTGGAACCAGCAAAACACATGCCCCAAACCTGACAAACACCAGGCGGTGTCGGCCAGCAAGGTGACCCGGCAGAGAGGGGCGGGTTGGTGACAGCCCAGTTTCCCTGGCCATGGACGTGCCCCAAGAAATGGGCACCCAAGCCAAGAGTCATAAGTCAACAGTATTAAAACTCAAAGTGGGACTCTGCACAGCACAGCGACCACACGGCAGCTGCTTGGGGCACACCAGGGACGGGGCCTCGGAACAGAGGGAGGAGACAGAGGCCGGGTTCCACTCGCTGACATCTTCGGGTTGCTAACGATGTTTTATGTGGAAACACAACTGGAATGGAAGAGGGGAAACCTCTGTCCTCTGTTGTTTCAGACAATGTCCCATAGGGCCGCAGATACGTCACGGGCCTTATTTTTACTTCTGAAATTCCACAGAGAAATGGAATTCACAGTCACTACTACGGAACAAGAGGGCTCAGCAAGTAACAAAAGCTGGAGGGAGGGTCAGTTTTGAGTATCAGCTGCCGTGTGGTCAGTTTTGAATATCAGCTGTCATATGGGAAACAGAGACCTCTGGGCCAAGTTTTAGCTGAGACAAAGACACGAGACCCAAGTGGCAGGCTCACGAAGGAGCAGAGCAGCACTGGAGGCAAAGGACAGGGACCCCTGCCAAGAGGCTGAATGTCTGTCTGGATCGCTACGTGAAGGCCGCGGTTCGGTAACAGCAGAACAAACGTTCGCTAAGGGGTGAGAGGTGTGAAACGACCTCCAGAGGCAGCCCGTGCACATCAGTGCGGCCTGAGGCAGTGGCCGTCGGCAGAGCCCCGGGCCAGGGTGGCAGCACCGTGCTCTGCAGGCAGGAGCCAGGCCTGAGCCCCAGAACGTGCCCCGAGAACAGGTGGTCATGGCAGCGAGAGCTACGATGGGGGGAGAAGGGCAGTTACTGAGGTGTCGGCATCTAAACGAAGGTCAGAAAGACCGGGGATGAAAGGGGGGAGGCGTCTCTGCAGACTGCAGACGGCTGCGGGGGGTTCGGAAGCAGACACCTGCTCTCAGGCCCCCAGTGCGGATCCTTCCTTCCAAAGGCATCTGAACCCAGGGTAGGAGGATCTCTCCGGCCGGCGTGGGACAGAGGTGACATTCCCAGCACACGATGAGGAGCAGCAGACACAGGCAGTCACAGAGGGTGCAACCGCATCGTTTCTCTTAAAACACTGTCATTTTTGTTTGCAGGTTTGTTTTTGTTAATCTTCATCTGAGGATGTTTATCCATTGATTTTTAGAGAGAATGGGAGGGAGGGAAGGAGGGGGAGAGAGAGATCTAGGTGAGAGAGACACATCGATTGGTTGCCTCCCGCATGCACCCCACCTGGGGCCAGAAATCGAACCTGCAACCCAGGCACGTGCCCTTGACGGGGAGTTGAAACCGAGAACCTTCATTCCGAGGGCCGACGCTCTAACCACTGAGGCAAACTGGCCAGGGCAAAACACAGACACTCCTAATCTGGTAGGAGAGATTCCACAGGTGAACCACGGCGGCGGCAGGGCAACCGGACCGATCCCACCCCGCAGACACTGGCTTTCGTACCCGGAGGAGCACCGTCTGCTACCGCACAACGTCTCAGTCCCGGGCAAGCACTTGGGAGGCAGAGGAGGTTCTGAGGGGCGAGGGGACAGAGGCAAGAAGACTGACCCTGTTACTTCCACCACGTGGTAGCGGGGACGTCAGCCAGGGCTCTGTTTATGGTGCAAGTTCCAAAGTGCCTTGGTGGGAAGACAGGGAGACTCCGGCGACTCGCAGCCATCGGAAGGGACGGCAGCCCGGCCGAGCGGCACTGCGCCCTCTGGGGTGGGACGCGGGTCTCACGCAGCCGGCTTGAGACGGTGCAGGCGGCCGCGTCCTCTGGGCCATGTCCGGGAGAGGGCTGCCGTCTGACACCCACATGAAGCTTCTGTCGGGCCCCTTGTCGTGCAGTTAAATGATCCATTAATAGAATGGAGTAATTGTTTTTTAAATATAAGGAAAATGGATTTTGAAGCCTCACACAAATCCAGGCCCCTCACCCTGTTCTTTTGCCATGAGTCTTACAGAATAGTCACCATCCACCCCAGAGGGAAGAGGCCGATTCTGGAGTCCCCTTCCAGTGACCACAGAGGGTGCAGCCTCTCTGAGAAGTCCCTTCTGCAGAGGCCCTTGTGCGGACAGACAGGGTCACAGGATTTCAGGGACCAGATAGATGGCTCAGGTCCTGGAATTAAAAACAGGGGGGCCGGATCCTTGCAAGGAGGCAATAGGTCTCCGAGGTCAGCCATAGACGTGGGTTGCGTTTCCTTGTAAAAATAACAAACTGCAAATAACACACAGCAATCCCCGGGATAGCTGGTAACCAACAGGACTTCCAGAGAGGGCCGCTACCGAAACTGCGGCCTGACTACGTGCTGCGTGCTGGGCCCACGGAGGAGGCTCTGCCTGCTCCTCTCCTGACACGTCCTCACCTTCGCCCGCGGGTGCCAGCGCCTCAGGGGACCTGCCCGGAGGTGACAAAGGCATGGGGAAGCAGCTGGAGAGATGGGTTGTTAGTGGCAAAGCTGGAATTTCTGTTTAAAAAAACAAAAACCAACAGCTAAGCATGTGGGAAGAGCACCCTGGATTCCAAACAAGATTACGGCAACATCACTGTGCACGGGGCCAGGCTGAGGGTCTGCGTGGGGAAGTGGGCAACTGCTTACCCGGTTCTCCAGCCACTGGGGCACTGGCTGCAGCTTGGAAACGTCCAGCACAGGGAGGGAAACAAGAATAGACAGTGGCCATCCTGGGGGACAGCAGGGAAGCAGGGACACGGCTCAACAAAGGCACTGCTGGTCAGTCACCCCTGACATCGTCCCCCTGCAGGAGGCAGCACTGGGACTGACCCCACCTCTGCCTGAGCCCAGCCCTCCCCAGCCCCCAGCGACCCTCCACGACCACTCAGGCACCAGGGCGTCCACGAAGCCCCCCCTGCCCATCACCTGCGCCCAGCCCAGACCCAGGTCCGAGGTGGGCACCCCCAGGCCCCCACTGTGCCCAGGGCACTGGCCTCCCCGGAGCAATTGCTGCTCTTGGTCGGAACTGCATGCTGAACTCTGCGTCTTCCAGCCCTCTGGCCTGGTCCTCCTGTCCTCTGTCTCCCATCCCCCGACACACTCTGCCACCTACCTGTCCTCTGTCTCCCATCCCCCGACACACTCTGCCGTCTGCCTGTCCTCTGTCTCCCATCCCCCGACACACTCTGCCGTCTACCTGTCCTCTGTCTCCCATCCCCCCCGACACACTCTGCCGTCTGCCTGTCCTCTGTCTCCCTCCCCCGACACACTCTGCTGTCTACCTGTTCTCTGTCTCACATCCCCCCTGACACACTCTGCCATCTACCTGCTTGTGATGGGCACGCGTGTCAGCTCTCAAAGGTGGAAGGTCCTGACACACCAATCATCTGTTCTGTTCGCTCACATCCCTGTGCCTAGACAGTGGCTGGCGGCAGAACCAGCGCAGGGGGTTTGGCTGAGTGAAGGAATAAATCATCTCCCTCGGCAGACTATTTGCCTTCTGAGACCTGGACCTATCTGAGCCCTGCGGCCCGGTGTGGTAGGCAGAGTAATGCCCCTAACCCTAAAGATGTGGGTGTCCTAATCCCAGGAACCTGAGGTCCCCCTGCGTGACAAAGGGGACCTGGCCAATGAGAATGACTGAGGACCCTGAAATGAGAAGGTGGCCCTGGGTTATCCAGGTGACCCCGTGTAGGCTCAGGGCTCCTTCTAGGAGGGGGGCCACCGGGCACCAGACGGGACGTGAGGGGTCCGGGCCGGCCACTGCGGCTGGACTGAGGACGCCGGAGGCCTGGGGAAGCTGGCGGAGGCGGGCACGGAATTCCCAGGAATGCAGCCGTGGACACCTCGCTCTTAGCCCAGGGAAGTGCGTTCGGGCTTCCGACCTCCTCAGCTGCAGACAGCAAGGGTGCGGTTTTCAGCCCCTGAGCGTGTGGTGAGGAGTTCGGCTGCCACGGGACGGGACACAGTGGTGCAGTGAATGTCCACTGAACGCACGCTGCAAATGACCACAGAAAAGGTGGCTTCTGGCCCCTCAAATAAGTTTTAATCCATAAAAAAGGGAAAGTCTTGAGCCACCAGTTACGGCGTTATTTTCTCCAAGTCTTTCTCTTCCTTTACGTTACACACTTGGCCTCGGAGATACTCAAGATAGTATCTCCTAGGCTGGCAGGTCTTACATTTAACCCTGAGGCAGTTTTACTGACCAGATTATAAGCTGCCTCCTGATAAAACCCTCAAGCAAGACTTAACAAAAAAAGAACTTTCCATGAAAATCGTGGAGCCGTGACAAAGCCGGGGTCCTCGCATTCCGCGTTCTCGGGCACCTCCTGCGGCCGGGCCCCACTGCTAAGGCCCATGCAAGGACCCCATGCTCCACCCCACGAGGCACCTTTCATGCTGACCCGTGAGGAAAGACAGAAGTGACCGGCAATCACCAAGGACACGTGTCTGTGTCCAGCTGAACATCCGAACGGGCTGGATTACGGGCCGAATCTTTTCCATGTCCCATGAACAATCCAAAGAAAACAGTTTTTCTCAGCTCTTTGCTCCCCAGCTCTGCTCTGCCTGTACCAACCAGGCCTACCATCACCGTCCGCCCGAAACCAAAACCCCACACGACAGGAGATTTTCCAATGTCACTGATAAACCCTGATATGGAGGATTCTTTTCAATCTATGTTAATATATCATGAAAGATTAAAATAATAAACAGCATACAACTATTTTTTTTTTTTTAATATGGGAAAGAAAATTTGTTTTGGGCCCTGTGGAAGATATTGTGCATCAGGAAACTTTAAAAAGATTTCAAGCCCTGGCCAGTTTGGCTCAGCGGTTGGAGCGTCGGCCTGCGGTGCAGAGAGACCCGGGTTCGGTTCCCGCTAAGGGCATGTACCTCAGTTGCAGTTTGTCCCCAGCCCTGGTTGGTCGTGCGGGTGGCAGCCACTCGATGTGTCCCTTTCACATCAATGTTTCTCTCTCCCTCCCACTCTATCTGAACAAAAAATGCAAAAGTGTCCTCGGGTGAGGGTAAAAAAAATAAATAGATAAATAAATAGATAAATAAAAGATCTCAAAATATGCTATCCAACAGCAATTTAAAATTCCCTTCTGCAGTGTACGCGTGGACTCTGACAAGGTGTCCCTGCTTTTTTATCTCTACAGGACATAATCGACAGGATATGACTGCAGAGTCAAGCATGACACCCCCTGCACTCAACCTCCTTAATCATTCACTGAGCAACGACTATGCGTGATGTGTCGAGCTGGGGAGATGGAGCCCCCAACACCAGGGCTCCCTCAGGCGCAGGGAGAGCCTCCCCACTGGCCAGGGTTCCCTTTACTGGCTCCAGCACACTCACCAAACACAAAATCTCTCTACTGCAAACTCCTAAACCAGAGTTTCATTTAAAAAAAAAAAATTAGGGGGTCAATGGGGAAAAACAGGGGGACCTCTGTAATACTTTCGACAATTAGAGAAAAGCCAAAAACTGAAAACTAATTTATTTCTTTAATAAAAACTACTCTATTTAAATTTAAATACTAAGACAACTGAAATCAGAGGAGAGTCTTTGCGGACAGCCCGCACGCTGTGGTCGCTGGGCCACAGGCCTGGCTGTTAGTATCAGCCCACCTGCCCTCCCTCCCATCATGGGCCCACAGCCTCGGGGAGTTGGGTGCCGGGCTGGGCCAGGCAGACAGGACAATGACCGGGACGCAGGTTCTCGGGGAGCTTCTCCAAATGCAGTTGGTCGAGTCTGCACTGACCTGAGACCCTCTTTGAGCCCCGTGTTTTCAATGAGCCAGCGAATCTCTGTCAATCGCTGTTCTCCGCGACCGCGAGCCCGTCGTACCTGTTGACGCTGGTGGTACTGGGTGCTTACCTGCCTCCCCTGTCGCGCTGTCAGCCTCGTGCCCTGCAGCACAGCTGAGCTGCGTCCTAGACCTGCGACCTCACGCAGCCCTGTGAGCCCGCGGTGCACCACAGGGCACGTCCCTGAGCAGCAGAATCAACCCAGTTCCCGGAAGAAGATGCAAATCACAGGGGGCAGCACCTCCCGGCACTTCTCACAGGATCTGGCGGGTTTGCAACGTCCCGCGTTCCCCTGACGCCCTCCCAAGCAGACCCCTCCTGCAGTGCCAGGGGAGCTCAGGATGCCACACGTCACCCCGCGAAGGGAGGGGCTCGGGAGAGAGATGAGACGAGGCTGCCATCTAGTAAACCCGAAGAAAAGCTACAAGAGTGTTCAGTCCGCAGAATGTGAACCTGCTCCGACCACTGGCCGGAGGAGCGTCGGGCCCTCCTGCGCAGCTCAGGCAGGGCCTTCTGGAGAGACCGTGTCCTGGCGGAGGGTTCAGGACACGCACCCATCGGGGTGTGCTGAGTCTTCTCCACGGACTGAGATCCAGGGGAACCACAACACACCGGTTCCCAGAGAATGATGTGGCCTGGACTCCACACTCTGCACAGTGCACTGGGCACACCTGGGGGACAGTTTTGAGGACAGCACTGCCATGTCCACCTCTGACTCGTCAAAGGCAGGTCGCCGGGGACACATCACTCGGGGGCCCCTTCAGGAGAGGCACTTTAAGACATTTCTCTGTGGGTCCCCAAGAAACCTACCCCTTCCCCAAGTCAGCTGTTTCTGTTAGAAAATTCAGCGTTCGAGTCCCAGTCCAGCTCTGACAGCACACGCGTCTCCGGGTGTGTGCTCCGTCCTCACAGACCTGCCCCAGCGACCCTGGAACCCAGCCCGCTCCTCAGGCACCTGTGTGCCAGGTGGCCCCGTCCTGGCCGAGTGCCGTCTTCCCCCACCGGCCAGCACCCACCCAGGGGCCCTGCCTGACAACAGCCGCACCTACCGAGTACGCACTGACCGAACGGCTGAGGGAGCAGATGGCTGCAAACTACAATCTGTGCGCCACCTTCTCCGTGAACCTGGACTCCGCCCACCCTGGTTCTGCCGTGCCTGCCGTGTTCCACGTGTCTGTGCAGACTGGGCTGGATCTTACAGGGAACCAGGGGATGCGGACATGAGCACAGACACAACACAAGGACGGTCGGTCTCATCGTCTAACACTCTGCTTTTAACAAAGAGTCAAGTCTCAGGACCGAAGAACAGGAAATGAGCCAAATAGTGCAACTGAGTCGAGTAACCTTGACTCAAAAATGGATCACTCCTTCCTGTCGGTTCAGTCGTCCTGTGTGCATCTGGTCAGGGGTGTGTCTGGGATGTAAAAGGCCAGCCCACTGGGACCCCGCCCAGCCCCTCTGGCTGTCCCCACAGTCCCCACTCGTCCACTCACTGGTGCCTCGGCACCAAGGGTGCTTCTCACGACAGATGTGTCCACATGTGTCCACATCATGCTCACTGCCGCTCTGGCATTCTTTGAAAGGAAATGAATGAGAAGCTTCCAGAATTTTCAAAAACATATGACACCTTTCCCCAAAACGCACCTCCGTATACGAAGCTACTGAGATACAATTCCGTGACAGTCCGAGGCAGAGAAAGAAACACATGCGACCTGACCGGTTTCATGCTGAATTCTCCTGAGGGACATAAGCTAGCGCCTCGAAAACCCAAGGGGGCAGGAGAGAAGGAGGGAGGCGGGAGAGGAGACGACACGGGAGAGGCGCGCGGAGGGCCCTTACCTGCTTCACGACAGTCACCGTCCCCGGAGCCATGGCGACCACGGAGGCCACCGCCGTGGCGTCGTGGGTCTCGGCGCCGAGCTCAATGATCTGCTGCAGGATGTTCACAGCTGTGGGGTCCAGCCGGTCACCTAGCGGGGGGAACAAACAGGATCCATCAGGCCGCTGGCTTCAACTGAGGTGCTGGCCTGCCCCCCCCCCCACAGGGACCCTTCGTGAGGGCCCACGGAGAGGAGCCGGGCTGCTGGAGCCCACTCCTGGGGTTCATGGCACAAGGGTGAAACAAAGACCTCTGGACCAACAGAACTGCTTCTCTTCATTGAGCAGAAGTGTGGTGTCCCTTCCCCTAATTAAAGAAAACTTTGTGTCCTAAAAAAAAGTTGGTGTCTCTCAGCCACTGGTGGTGAGCCCTCTGGTCTGTGCGTGGGAAGAACGCACCCGCTGCGCCCACGGGGTCCTGAGCACCGGGGTGACACTGCGGGGAAGCCTACACCTCTGCGGGGCGCCTGCCCACGATTTCCGGAGGCGAGGCCTCCAAGGCGGACAACACGACCACTTCCGCAGTCCGGACGCTGGACCGGGCTGTGGGAGCCGACCCTCTGCCGGGCGACTGACAGGCCTCGTTCGCTCGCGAGCCCCCCGCCAGCACGTCCGCCACGGACCCGCCGAGGTGCCGGGGGAGCGGGCGGGCCCTCTCACCGCTCTCCGAGGTGTATCTCAGGTCCTGGAGGGCGGCCACGGCGGCCTGCGTCCCCTGCACGTCCTCCTCGGCTTCTGTGATGTGCAGGTACTGGGTGCAGGGCTCCTCGGGAGTCTCTGTTGCTGGCTGAGTGAACACATGACACCTGAGTGACTTTCTGGACGCCCAGCCGTTACCCAGAATCCCAGGGTAATGAGCACGACAAAACTAGAGCACCTGCCGCATCTCATGTATCCCGGAGAAATCAGCTGCTCGCTAGAAACCCGATTTCCCAGGGAGAAAACCAGCGAACAGCGGGGCCTGTGAGCCCGGCTTTGGCCCGAAGCCGCGGTTGCACGTCCCTGCCTCGGGAACAGACCGCACGGTCCGGGGTCAGAGGTCAGGCACCCCGGCCGCGCTGGGTCTGCTCTTCTGACGGCTCCTGCTCCTCCCACTGCCGCCAGCACCACCTCGCGTGGGCCCCGCCCAGGGCCACGTGGCCGGCGTGGTGACGGAGGAGGGAAGGCGCGGATGTGACCGTCACGTGGCAACACACACAAAGCCGGAGGCGCAGGGCCCCGCGCAGACCTAGGGCTCAGTGAGTCACAGCTGCCTGTGCCTTTCCTATTTCACACAAGGACATGGGACAAAGCAGACACAGCCGGCCGGGGTGGCTCCGTGGCTGAGCGTCGGCCCTGCACCAAGAGGTCGCTCGTTCGATTCCCGGGCAGGGCACATGCCCAGGTTCTGGGCCCAATCCCCAGTGGGGGGGATGCAGGAGGCAGCTGAGCTCTCATCGATGTTTCTATCTCTCCCTCTCCCTTCCTCCCTCTCTAAATATCAATAAAGAAAAAATTTTAAAAACATTTTTTGAAAATACATCTGTGCACAGAAGGGGCTACGGGGACATTCACAGGACCTGGGACCTAAGGGGAGAGAGAAGAAAACATGCACAGGAACTAGATCGTAGTAAGGACCCCTCTTGCTGGAAGGCGGGGAGCGTAGCCTGCCTTACAGACGGAGCAATAACACAGAACAGAGAGGAGGACTTCGCACAGAATGTACAGGGACCAGGTCGCTGCGTCAGCCCTGAGCAGTGAGTGACAGGAGGGCACAGGATTACCCCACCCGGGCCATGTCCATTCAGGGGTCCCCCGCCTGACGCCTGGCAGACACCCAGTCGGTATCTGATGGCTGCACGAACAAGCGCGAGGGGCGCGTTGCCTTCCGACTAGCACTGAGCTAGGCACGGCGAGCACCGGCGGGATGGAGGATGGCCCGGGCCCATGAGAATCGAATGCACACGGACGGCGCCTCCTCCCCCTTGGGGAGCTCTGTGCACTGACCCCCACTTGTGGGAGAGGCAGTGTCTTCGCAGGGCATTCCTGGGGGCCAGTGACAGCCCACAAGCCGGAAGAGGCAGGCTGCCTTCTCTCTCACTTCCGCAGCTGAGGGCACAGCTTCTCGTCACCCAGCAGTAGGGCTGGCAGCTCGGGCCGTGTGGGGCCGCAAGGTTACACCAGCCGTGTCCCCGCACCCCGCTCCAGGCCGCTCCGCAGAGGCCGAGTCAGACTCTGGGATTCTCGCCAAGCCAACAGCTGAGAAATTCCATCTGTCTGGTTTTAATGAACATTTACTGTGTGGCGTTGCTCCTGGTTTCAGATGCCCAAGGTCATCTGCATTTTTCTGTGAACCTTTCCCATCTCCTGCTCCGTCAACTGGGCTCTGGACTTTTCCACCATTATTGCAGAAGCTTGTAAAGGGTAGAGACAGTCACTCTCTTTCTACGATCTCACTGAAAATACTTCTATTTTTTGTCATTTGCGTCTCTGAGTTCTTTGCTGGAAGACCGGGCAGGCTACCGGTGTTTCTAATCCAGATGTGTTCTCAGATAGGCCCCGACCCCTCAGGGAAACACGATGCCAGAGGGCGCGGGGCCGAGAGTCAGGCAGGAGGTCCTTCCCGCTGTCCTGGGGAGGCAGGCAGGGCCCACACCTGCATCTTGTCTCAGACACGGGAGCTGAAGCTCTGCATGTGTGACCAATGGGAGTGAACGTCAGAGGCCAGCACAACAGACCTTCAGGACAGATCAAGTGCGGCCCGGAGGACGAGGTGGCACGCGTGGCCCGGCCCTCACCCAGTCGTGCCCCTCGGACAGGAGCCATGACTTGCAAAGGTGTCCGAGTCCCCCACGGGAACAGCCAGGGCCTGGTCCCTTGCTGTGGTTAGAAGTGCAAGGTCAATCCCCACTCGCAAGCCTTACCTCCCACTTGGGCTCTCCGTCACTGTCCACCAGCTTCAGGCCGTGCTTGTTCTTCAAGTGCCTGTTGAACTCCCACTTGGTGCCGTAGACAAAGCTGCAAACCGGGCACTTCAGACCACCTGAGGGCACAGGGGCAGAAGGAAGCGATTACACCCAGCGCCGCAGTTCCTCCCCGTCCACGCCGGAGTCCAAGGACTGCATGTCTGCATTCAGTCCCAGCTCACCTCAGCACTGGAACAGAACAGCAACGGTCTGTTCTCTAGGCAGAGATTTTAAAGCTCGATGTCTTTTTTCCATTTATTGAGTGAGCATTTGCAGAGCACTGGGTTCTGCCCGCCCTCCATTTCCAGGGGCTCCACATCCGGGACTCAACCAACCACGGGTAGAAACTAGTTTTTAGCAGTGACGGTGTTGCTGGCGTGTACTAGGTCGTCAGGGTTGTGGCTGTGTCTGCAGAGACTCCTTCCTGTCCTTATTCCCTAAACAGTGCAACAGTTTCCGCAGCATTTTTGTTGCATTAGATAGTGAGTTATCCGGAGATGATTACGTACATGGGTTACATGCAAATACGCTGCCGTGTCACACAGGGGACTGGTGCACCTGCAGACTGGGGTACCCACAGGACCCTCAGGGCCCCTGGCACCAGCTCCCATGGATACCTAGAGGTGACTGTGTGTACGCACTATTTTAGTGCCAGAGAGAAATAAGATGGGAACCCCCGTGGCTGATGGGAAACTGGAACGTGCTCTGCAGCGAACCAACATGGATTTAAACTGAAAGCTCAGATACAGCTACAGAAGTGCTTTGAAAGGCCCCGCATTTCTAAACTCTGCCTGAGTGCAGGGAGGCACCACTCCACTGAGCACCCTGGTCCTCGGGCCCCAATATCCCCACCCCCAGGTGTCCTTCTCTCCTCACTGGGCCTTTCCCTCTGTCCCTCTGCTGCCTCCTGCCCACCCTCAGGCCATGACCCTGGCTGGGTGCTCGGACATCCTGCTCCAGGCTCCTCCTCCTGCCCCCGATCCCTAGGGGACTCCTCACAATTCACATAGTATCTGTAAGCTGATGACTGTCCCCCTGTATCCAGCTCATACTCCAGCCAGAGATGCCCGCCCACAGCGGCTCAACCAAGCACCCCGCACCTCCCAGGGCCTCCCGCCCAGGCCACTATCATCTTCTGCACAGCGGGGAGCAGCCAGCTCGTAACTGGTTCCCCCGCAGCCACTGCAGTCTGCTCCCCACCAGCACACAGAGCAGTCGGGTAAGTCACGGACATCACCTCCCCAGGGCTGTGAGACCCTCCAGCGGCTTCCCATCTCACTCAGAACGACACCCCAGCCCACAGGGAGGCTCCACACGCCCCCTCAGCCCTCCTCCCTCCCTGACCCTCTCTTCCCTGCCTCCATTCTCCCCTTTCTCTGTCTCTGCATTGGCCAGGCTCACCCCACCCAGGACACCTGCTTGGAAGCCCCGCCCCATGATCTCCATTTGCCCGCCCTCCACCGCAGGGTCTCGAGTCAAGCATCACCTCTTCAGAAAGCCTTCTCTGACCTTCCTAGCTAAGGCAGCCCCCCAACACACAGCCCCCCCCCACAGGACTCCCTGGCTGTGTCTTTGCCGTGCAGGGATCGGTGTCTGAATTGCACTGTCATTCCCGACGCGTGAGCCGTTGCTCCCTCCGTGAAGGCACGGCCTGGCCCAGCTCTGCCACGGCCCCCGCCGCAGTCCTGGCACCTGACGTCCTCCAGCAACGCGCCGGTCTCACCGCCGGGTCTCGGGAAACCCTCTTCCTTTGGGTCTGTCTCCAGACCCTCCTCTGCCTCTTTGCCCCGCCCCCACACTCACCTTTCCCTCGGCAAATAAGCTCAGCCTTCCCCAAGGGGGAAGCCCTCATCCTGCCCAGGGACAGCCCCGTCCGGGAGGAGTCTCCACGTCCAAGAGCTCACGAGGCCTCGGACCCCTGCTCCCCGAGGTGGACAACGGCTGGAGGCCGGTTTTCCCTCTCCAGCCCCCTGAATCTTACATCTTATTCCGTGTGAGAGTGACGGCCTGTTCAAAAACTAGCGAAATTAACATTATAAACCCAAACAGAAAAGTGAAGACCAGACACGAGGCCTTGAACAGAAGCAAACTACCGAGGGTTACACGCAGGCTCAGCGTGAAATGGAAGGTCCCTCGCGGGCACTTGGGGAAACCAGTCTCTAAGGCTGGAGGGAGGAACGTAGCCTTCCTTTATGTCCAAATTAAAACGAATGCGATGATGCCCCACATTATGACAACGCCCACCTTTGCCACAGGGGTGCTGATTAAGGAACAAATGAAAACCTGTCCTCCAGAGCAGAGGTGAGACCAGTCAGTGCACTCCAAGCTGAGAAATTGATTTCTACTTCATTTCACTAAATTCTGAGGCAATGCCCAGGAAAAGGCCACGGGAAAACTTGGAGAATTTGCTCACAGTGTTGATATGAAGCACCCCCTGTAAAAACTGCCACCCCCAAACCCCAATGTCCTCCTAAGGCATGATAGTCTGGGCAGAAGAACAGAATTTCAGGAGCAATTTTTAAAAATGATCATGGCATCCTTTGCTTTTCTTGGAAGGCAATATATTCTGGAGGAGTTTCAGGCATTAAAACACGTGTGCTCTGTGGGGGCTGACATCACTGAAAATCTGTTCCACCTTCGGTAAGCAACCTCCCGCAGCAGTGTGGGGTGCCGGGTGGGGCCAGGGGCCTGCGTGCGTGCGGCACACGCCCCTGAAGACATTCACACTCTAATCCCTGCAACACGCAGACACGTTACCTTCTGTGGCAAAGGGACTTGGAAGATGTGTTCAGTTATGGGTGTGGAGAAGGGAGAGGATTCTGGATTGCCGGAGCGGGTGGGGGCAGGGGGGCAATGAAACCACAGGGTCCCTAGAAGGAGGAGGCAGGAGGGAAGGTCCTAGGGATGGGACAGGAGACCACTGGCCGTCACGGGCTCTGAGGACAGAGGGAGGAGCTGGAGCCAAGGAGTGTGGGAGTCTCTAAGGCTGGAAATGCCAGGAAGTGGATTCTCCCCAGCCTCCCGGAGTACAGATTGGTCAGCAAACTCGACTTTACCCGTGAGAACCGTCCTGGACCACTGACCTTCGGAATGAAAGATAAGAAACCGAGTTGCGTTAGACTACCGCCGAGTTTGTGGTCACGTTACCATAGCGACGGGCTACAGGTGCAGGTCCTCCCAGGCGAGCGGAACACATGCAGCCCAGTTGCCAGAGGGCGCAGAGCAATCTGGTTTCAGAAGAACAACGGAACCCGGCACCAGACTGGCCTGGCATGCTCACCGCCTGTGCTCAGTTCAGCGCCTGCCCAAGGGCCCAGCAAATGCATGCAGGGCGGTGAGCGAGTGACAATCACAGGTGTGCCCCGAGCAGAGGGCTCCTGGTGAAGGGCACCCTACCAGAGCCTTGGGGCCCAGGCAACCTGAATCCCGTCCTAGACCCCAGCCCCACTTTCCGCAGCCCCAGGGGAGAAGTGAGGGTCACGCGGCCCAGGAAGAGCTCTGTGTGCGTCGTCGTTGGCCAGGCTGATGCCCAGAGCCACAGGGAGGGCGCTCTTCAGTACACGGGGCTCGAGCAAGGTCTCCCCCATCCCGCCTGGTCCCCTCGTCCACTCCCCACGTCCTGGGGTCAGAGAGCCGCTGGACAACCACGGGAAGCAGGAGAAACAGAGGCGCCCAGAGTCAGCTCTGAGTCAGATAAGCCACTAGAGCTGAAAACAACCAAATCAGAGAAAATCATTTAGATTTCCAGCACCCTGAGTGCGACCTTTCAGCACATGATCATGTGACCTCTGCCAAAGGAGAACCAATGGGCAGCTCACAGCAGGGCATGTCTGCTCCTCCCCCACCTCCCCCCTCCTCCGTAACAGTAGGAATGTGACACAAACTTCGGAGCCATCAGCCCACGAATGGAGCTGCAGCCACAGCGACGTCTACTTCCTGCCGCCGGCCCAAGGGCGTGGAGGGCGGTGAAGGGCTCTCTAACCTCTACTCTAAGTCATTTGCTGTGACTCAGGCCTCCATCCTGTCCTCTGTGGTTCCTGGACGGCATCAAAATGACACCACAGCTCTAGAGGTCTGAGATCATTTCAGAAAACACTGGAGAAGAGGGAATAAAACTGCCGCGTGCCAGACCAGTGTCCCTCGTCCATCGTGTCCACCCTCACGTGAGGCGGCGGCTGTGGACGCCCCTCTGCGGCGAGGCTCAGTGACCTGCCCACGTGCACAGCAGCCAGACCCACGCCCACCTCCCAGCCATCCAGGGAACGGAAGGCACACGCTCCCCATCACCCCGGAGTCGTTTCTGCTGCTCATCCGTTTCCGCACGTCAGCCAGTCCCGGGAAGTGCTGAAGGACGCAGTCCGTTCATCTGTTCTACATTAGGAGGCATTTACGGTGATTCCAGCAAGCGGAGCTTCACCCGCATCGGAAAGCTCTGAGCACCCCGAGTTAGCAACCCCACAGCCCTGTTTACGGGGGGCGGGTTCTAACACTCCAGCTTCCCAGACACAGGACCCGGGAAGAGCAACAACTGGAGCAGCACACGCTGCAACCATCTTCAGCTGAACTGACGACGTGCAGATACGGACACGATGCATTTCTCTGCACGGCAACAGCGGCGCCAGGCCCTCTCGCGTGGCACCTGTGACTTTTTATTGGACACAGAAGCAAAAAAAGCTCCAAACTCCTCAGTAATATTGGAGGTCTCATCCACTCTCTTTAAGATTAAATGTTCTGAATGGTTTTTCCTTTTCGGGATAAGTCATCTGAGGACTCAATAAATATTTCTGTGTAATCTAAAGAAGCTCACCTGTAAAAGGTTCGCCGTGGTATTCCTTAGCATGGCAATAAAGTAAACACCGGGAAACCCTCCACGTCAAGCACGGGACCGTGGGTAAGTAAGGTGAGGTGCTGTCCCCTGATGCTGTGTTACGGACAGCCCTTAGAAACTGCTTAGGGAGACTGAAGGGACCCACGTGTCCATGACGCTCAGCAATGGTAGTGAAGAGAGGAAGCAGGGACCTGCATTCACGCAACACGCACGGAAACAGCAGAAGGCAAGGCAGACAAACGAGCGCCGTGGGGGCAGGGAGGTCAAACCTGTGGGTACGTTATCACTGTGTCATTTTAGATTTCCACCGAGGTTGCTCTAGGGGGATCCTGCCCAGGAGGGATGCTGGTGGAGAGTGGCGAGGAGGAGAGGGTGACGTGACGGTGACGGAGACTCAACAGCAAGGTCGGATGCCCCGGCCCTCGGCAGGAGGCGGCCCGGCAGGGAGCGCGCAGGGGCCCCGGCCAGCAGGTGCCTACCTTGCTGGACGAGCGCGTCGGCCGCCAGCTCCCCAGCGCCCACGTTGGCGTACTCCTCGTTGGGGTGCTTCCGGTTGTAGTGCCTCTTCAGCGAGCCCGATATGTTGCAGGAGTAGTGGCAGTGGGCGCAGCGGAAAGGCTGCGGGACAAGGAGACAGGTTAGGAGACCGAGCTCCGCGGAGGAGGAGCAGGCATCGCCCCCGAGGGTCTGCGTCACTCTCCGTCTGTGTGTGTCGGAGACCCCGAAAGCCCGAGGTGAGCAGGCCTGCCCCGCTGGGGTGTGCTCTCGGGAAAACGTGACCTTGGGGTATTGAATCCTGCCTCTGTGGGATCAGCCAAGGGACAGGGCAAGGTCCCCAGACTAGGAGGGGCCTCTGCAAATGTGGCCGCTTTCATTTCTTTCACGTTCACCCCAGAATTTACAGTTCTTGCTCAAGAAGAAAATAAGAAAAAAGAAATAGTTAACATCTCTTTGTTTTCCAGTGACTGCCTGTCAAAGTAGCTCCCCTTATAATTAACTCCCTGAGGTACTTGCTACATTGAACAATCTCCTCCACAATGTTTACCTGTGACACCTTCCGATGCACATGCCAACCCGTCACAGCCCCCACTAGGGGAGCCCACCTGTCCATCTGTTTCCACCCGCCCGCCCCTGGGCAAGTCGAGGCAGGGTCAAGGGTCAGGACACAAACAGGTCCTGCAGCCTTGTCCACCTGCCACTCCACACACTGCTCAGACCTCGGGGGAACCAGGAGACCTGGTCACGGGCTGGGCGATGGCTGGACATGCTGATCACTGTCATCCCCCACACCCTTCCTCCCGGTCGGGGTCAGCTCCGGGCCATGTGCTGTGCGGCTTCAGGCAGAGCCGAGTGCGACCCGTCTGCACGCAGGGCCCGGGTGGTGCCAGGGGCAGCTTCCCGGGCAGCAGGAAGGGGAGAGCATGGAGCTGCCCATGGCCAAGGGGATCCAGATGGGGACAAGGTCAGCTGCCCCCTGGCACGGACTGACCATGGGACCTGAGACAGGCAGGGAGACGGCTCTGCACTGGGCCTCTGACTGGTGAGATGGGGGTGACGTAACCTGGCGTCTGAGACGCCATCGAAACCAGCCTTTCTTGTTTTTATTAGTCATGTTCACAGCTCGTGCTGGGCCCGGGGGAGCTGGTGCACTTCTGTCTATTAAGCATCAAAACCACCCGACTCCGCAAGGGTCCAATCCATTGATCTGTTGCCGCTGTTTCCCTGAAGGGCTAAGCCAACAACAGTGTATCTGTGAAGGTCAAGTGTACCAACAACGAGGGAAAACGTCCCCTCTCCTCTGACGCTTCAGTCAGCCCCTTTCAGTGGGTTCTTCCTCTCAGGTCTACAGACGGGTGAAGTCTTCCATTGAAAGGGGGGGGGCACGGAGAGAGGGAAGAAATTGAAAAGAAAACCCGGCTGTCTCCCTTGCCCTTGGTTAAGTCCTTACACTTTCTCCTGGGCCCCGCCCACCCCACAGTCTTCAAGAGCAGGTCCTGCCCCCGCCAGGCCCTCGGGGGTTCACCCTCCTTGCCCAGGGCTGGGTGATCTGGGCAAACCACCCCTGCAGTGCAGGCGGGGCTCCCTTCTCAGACCTCCTCACACCCCACCATCTTTAGCTGTCACTGTGACATCCGCGACATGGTGACATGGCAGTCACCTGGCTCTGCTTGTGCTCTGAGCTGCCCAGTGTATTCGCCGATCCCTCCCCAGCCGAATGCCCAGTGCTGGCTTCCCCCAGGGTCCTGTCTGCACTTCCAATGGTCATTCTGCACTGCTGGCGGCCAGGGCTATACATCCAGTCACAGTGCGTCTTGAACCACAGAGAACGATGTCCGACTTTCTCGCAGGTGTCTGCAGGGATGTTCCGCGGGCACCTCCTGCGCAACCTGCCAATCGCCCAAAGACAGAAGCCTGGGCACCGCCCGAGACCTCTCTCTTGCTGCTCAACTGACTTCTGAGCCTTGAGCAGGCTCCTGGGAGACCTCTCGGAATTCGCCCCTGCTCCTCTCCTCCTGCGGCCCCAGCACGGAGAGAGGTGCCGCCCCGTCTCCGAAGAAACGCTGGGGCTCCCAGGAGGGTCCTGCTCAGAAAGACACGGGCAAGGTAATCGGAAGAGCCGCCCTGGCCCCGAACGGCCCAGGGACTCCGCCGTGGGTCAGGGCCGGGCTTTGGTGGGGATGCTTTCTGCACCCTGCCTGTGCCTCACTGGGCCTTCCTCGGAGGAGAACCCTGTGGTTTGGATCTGGGCTTTGTTAAACAAGAGGACCTGGATCAGAGACACAACTGAGACAGCTTCCCTCGTCTGTGTACTGAGCAGAGACTTACGAGGTCTAAAATGCTGTAACATAGGGTTATTTGCAAAGTTAAAATAAAAGCTAAAACATTTTCAAGTGCGTCCATCCCTAAATTAGTAAACGATCTGCAATTACGTTTGGGACGTTAGCATTACAAACATCAGAAAGAACAGGCACTGATGTAGACTGCCCGAGCTGAGCGGTGGGCTCAGGCAGGAAGGGACAGCCAGCTGCAGCCTCCGGACGGGACAGAGGACACACTGCCTCACGGAGCCTCAGCTCCATTCCCCACGCCCTCTCCTTGGCAGAACTGCTGGGGAGGAGGAAAATGACCCAAACTTGAGCAGACAGGCAAACAACGTACAGGTGAGCCCAAACAAGAGCCCGCTTTCTGAGCTCCTGATTTCTGTGAAAATCTCCAGTCCTTACAGGTGGACAGGACGCTTTCAAGGGCTGACTTTGACCAACCTTCCCTCCATGCTCCTTCTAAACTCTGAGAGGTGTGAGCTTGGCCTCTGTTGGGTGCAGGGAGGTCAACCGCCCCCGGCCCCTTGCACTGCTCAACAGCTCTGGGTTTGGTTTGGTTTTTAAATCCTCCCCCGAGGATATTTTTTCCATTTATCTTCAGAGTGGGAGGCAGGAAGAGAGAGAGAGAGAAACATCGATGTGAGAGAGACACATTGATTGGTTGCCTCTTGCACAACTCCGACCAGGGCCGGGTCCCAAACCACAACCGAGGTACATGGCCTTGACCGGAATCGAACCCGCGACTCTCTGCTCCGTGGGCCAATGTTCTAACCACGGAGCGGAACTGGCCAGGGCTCCGCTCTGGGGCTTTGGGAGGAGAACCCTCCCCATGCCCTCCATTGGCTCGTCATAACGTCTCACAGGAAGTCAATGAGCACCTGACTTCCCCCTGGGCTCCTCCCCCTCCGTGTGGTGACTGAGGTGTCACCACATCTCAGTGGGGAGTTCTCCGAGGCCGTGGCGGGTGAGGACACCGCGCCTGCCCTGACCACCAGGCACACAGCCTGCCTGCATCGCTCGCGCCGCAGACCCGGGCCCGGGGAGCCTGACGGACGAGGGGGACGTGCGCTTCCATGCGCACTCGGGAGGCTCAGACACGGATATCTACCGCAAAGATTAAATGCCATCGAGGCAAATGAATCATAGAGCTTGGTTTCTAAGTCAGATACGCAGAGACAGCCAAAGGCGGCAGAGCTCAGACGGGACGTTGTTCAGTGAGCTTTCGGGCCAGCGTCTGGCCTTGGAGGACACAAGTCGCTCGGTGGTTCAGTGGGCATGAAACGCAGCACCCAGCTCTTACTGCAGTCCAAACGGAACGTGAACCAAACACAAGGCAGCAAGCCCACTGCCATGCCTGCTGTGCAAGGGGGCACTGGAGTTCTCCACCCAAGTGGCGTGATCTGACACAATGATCAGTTCTCAGCTGCCACTTGCTGGGAGCTGCCATGACACCAGAGAGCTCCGAGTGTCTCATAGGTTCATTGCTGTGTCTCACAACAACCTCACGTGGCAGGTGCAATCATCATCCCCGTTTTACAGATAAGGAAACTGGGGTGCGGATGGTTAAGGCATGTGTCCAAAATCTTCCAGTCTCCCCGACTGACCACGTGGTCTGCAACAGCTCTGGGGCCCCAGGCCCAGCCAGAACGAAAGAAATGATTTGATTTCCCATTCACCACTATTTTCCAAGCATCTCCTTTGCCTGGGACCCCCCCCTCCCACACACACACATGCACCTGGGAGGGGCCTGGTTTGGTATTTTGTGAGGTCCTAGACATCCGGGAGCCCAGATCAACTCCCAAACCTGAGGGGCACCGTGGCGGCCGGGAGGAGTGTAGCAGCTTCCACGGCAACGAGGCGGGCTTCGGTGGGGACGGACTTGAATCCCGCGGGGGCGAGCGAGCGAGGGGGGGCACGCCCACGCACACTCAGAAACACCACGCAGGAAACGGGGAGGGTGGACTCGAAAGGAACAAGGCCCGAGGCAGGGAGTCACCTCACCAGGCGTCGCACGGCCCAGACAGGGGGTGCGAAGGGCCGGAAATGAGAGAGTGGAGGGAAACAGGAGAGGAAGTGGGCTGGGGAGAGGGAGGGGGTGAGACCAGCCAGGCTGCTGCCTGGGGTGCCCGGGGCTCAGAGCTGAGGACTCCCAGCTTCCAGCCTGGGCGACAGGAGGAGAGACTGGGCGAGCGGACAGAGCCCGGACACCCGGGAGCGCAGGGCTGGAGAGTGGCTGGAGGCAGGAATGTAAACCTCAGAGGGACCAGGGAGCAGATGCCCCGGACGGAGCTCGCACAGCGCAAGCCTGTGAGTGAGGAGAGACGTGGCATTAGGACAGTGGGACGTGGCACCTGGACGGGGGGACGGAAGGGAAGAGGAGCCCTCGAGGACAGAGAGAGTAACAGCAGGTGGGAGCACGGGGGTTCGCAGCCACAGAATCGGGGAACAGTGTCCCTCGCGGAGCAGGGAGTGCCCGAGTCGAACGCCCTGGGAAGTGGGGTGCCTGCTGGACCGGCCTGCGGGAAAGTGGGCGTGGGCGGCTGTCTGAGGGAGGACAGTGCCAGCACCCCAGGACAAAGGTGGGTCAAGGAGAGAGGACACGGGGCAGAGCTGGGCTTGGAGTCACGTTTCAGTGACCTCTCAGATGCAGAGGGTCCCTCAAAGGTCCATTGAGAGCATCCACTTGAGTTGAAAACAGTGCAACTGAACTTGTTGAGGCTAAGACTTGAAGTTCTCAGACTTATGTCAACAAGGTAGGTACCATTCTACTTCTTCACAACTTGAGGGTTTGCTGCT